CCCCCCCCCACCAAAAAAAAAGAAAAAGAAAGAAAGAAAGAAACTGCACTGGGACTTTGGCTTCCATACCCCTTTTCTGGAGAAGAAATTCAAATCTGCATCAAATGCTCCATCATGTTTTCTTATGAACAAAGCTCTGTTTCTGTCCTCTTAACTCGATTTGCCTTGATGTCCTGTTAGCATCCCGCAGTTAGCACATCCCACATGAAATTCACACTCTTTCTCCGAAACTTACCTCTCTTCTGGGCTTCCTAATTATCATTGTCCTGTATCTTTTTAGATAAAAACTTCAAAACCACCTTTGATTCTCCTTTAGCCCTTCATCCAACCAGTTGAAAAAGTACTTGTCAGTATTATCTCCGTGGTATCTTGTAACTGCTACTGCATTTTCTTTTCTTTTGATTCACCTTGACTACTATCCTACACTTTTATGATATCCCCCTATTTAGTATCCCAAATTCTAATCCTACTCCTTGCTGCTAGTGTAATATTTTCACCTCAACTGTGAATTTATTTAATGCAACATTCCTAGCCAGAGACAGTTTCTCTCGCTTCAGTGTTCTTGCAGCACTTAAGCTTATATGTATTATTTTATTATATAATACTTGTCCACATATTACTAATCCTCACAGATTGTAAGCTCCTTGAGGGGATGACTGTGTCTGATTTTCCTGTTATCCTCATGTATTTGTTGTGTTGGCATGCATCAAATGTTTGCTGGCTGGAGTTAGTAGCTAGCTTGGCTAGAAGTCATCTGATCCTGGTCGTTAACAGGTGATCTGTGATGGTCATTTTAATTTGACATTAATTTCATTTTTTGTGCATTTGTTTTATTCTGAAAAGCTTTCTTATTAAGCTGTGCCAGTGGCATAAATGGAACAGTTAACCGAAAGACCAAACAGGCCCACAATTTTGTTATCAGCAGAAAAATGGCTGCTGGGAGGAAAGACGGTGAGTTTAGGTTGTAACTGTAAATGTCCTTTGGGATTCAGTTAAATGTTCCCTTCCGATATTCCTGTTGCTTTTTTAATTGTATGTGATTTCTTTTTAAAACAGCATCAGTCTGGAAAAATTAAATTTTATCTAATCTAAAACTTCTGATCCTATATGTTCTTAATCTATTATTTTCCTTTGCTGTTGCTTTTGCCCTTTTTTCAGCAAAAAAAAAAAACTATTCCTGTTTTTAACCTGTGTTTCCCCTTATCCAGTGACTAGATTACTACCTCTAAAAATTGTCCTTGTGTGGTTATTTTAATGATTTATTTATAACATTAGAAAATGTTAAGTAAAATTAATATGTATAATTTTAAAAAGTGCTTGTCTTAACTTAGAAAAATGACCGTAAAATATCATGTCTAATTTTGGATGATTTTTGTTGTGAAATCAATCGATGCATTGCTCTTCGGTAATTAGTTGACACTTGTTTTCTATTGGCAAGATGACGACTTGATCCTTGAACAATAGTTTGATCCTCCTAAATTTTTCTTATAATTTGTAACTCTATCCATGAGTATTATCCTATGATCTTTAAAATAATGCATTTTATTAAGGAGAAAAAAAAACCTTAATCATAAAAGATACAAGTTATTTTCAAAATATTATCATTATGATCTTTCACTTAATATTCCTTCTTAATTATATGGTTAAATTTATAGTGCTGGCTCCAGTATTGAGTATTTATGGTCATGAGCATTTTCCCCATGGTAGCTTGGCTTTTATTTTTCCCTCTCCTGTACCAGGGATCAAACTTAGGGCTTTGTGTGTATGAGGCAGACACTAAGCCACTGAGCTAAACCCCTGGCCCTTAGCTTGGCTTTTATAACTTTGGAGCAACCAAAATATCTATTCCTGTTTGATCTGACAAGGATCCTTTCTAGCCAGCTGTTAGGTCCATTTGAGTCCTCCACAGTATTTTGCTGCTGTTCTTGGTGAAAGGCACAGCATCCTCCAGAATCTCCAGCAGGTACTGCTGTCCTCTTTTTTTAAACTATGGATTCCCATTAGGTCTCAAACTGATTTTCTTCTCGGGACTTGACAGATAAGTACTTCTCAAAACTGAAATGAACAGTTAGTCTTGAAGCTACCTAGTAACCACTTTAGGTTGTCATGTTCCCTTATTTCCTCAGTTTCTCCTGATTTTATCTTTTAGATTCTTCTGCCATTTTGGTTTTCTTATCTACTTAATGCTTGTCTTTCAGTTCTGGATTATTAAAATAGTTTATACAGAAAGCAATGTTTTATCAACTGTATGAAGAAAATTGTTTCAACTTCTAAAACTGTAATGACTACTTGTGGCTTGTACCTCAAGGCCACCTAAAATGCCATCTCAGATGCCAAATGTTCTTTGTGCTGTTCTTGACCAAGAATTCCAGTCAGTCTTTTTGGCATATTCAAGGGAGCACAATTGATTAAAAGAGCATTTATAAAGTAAAATACATTTAACAATGTATTTTTATGTAACTTGTGTTTCAAATGATATTCCAACTCTTGGTCTAAACAATGGGTGGCATCTCTTTTGTAAATAGGATTCTGAGCAATTTGACTGCCTCAAATCAACACATTTGACATTAGTCTACCTCAGTATATATCAAATGGTTACAAATGTCATACAGAGCACTCTAAATGTGAATTCTTTTTTTTCCCCACAGAGGTGAGGCTAGTGAACTTAAAAATTTAAATTTACTGTTGGAATAACTCAAATAGAAATAAGCTTTCATATTTATATACGTCCCTTAGAAAAATATCTTCAAATTCTTCTTCACAATTCACATTCTGAAATAGCCTAGCCTTGGGGTTATACACACGTGTTAACATAATGATCAGATATTTAATCCCACTTCAGAGAAATTAAAATAAATAATCTTAGTAGGAAAACAAAGTCTCATGAAGAAACCTTTTTGCTTTTTCGTAGAAAAAGATCCAAGCGCTAGCTGCTTTTTTTTCCTACCTCATTTAAAGAGAAATGAAGTTTACCAAGGCTAGCTCACCTGTCCTTGTGATGAATTCCATAGCCTAGGTGTGGGCTATCTGGCTGAAACAAAAATAGCTGCCCACCTCCAAATGAACGGCCTGCAGTACTTTGATGTTGAGTAAACCCAGAGGTGAAGGGCAGGCTACTGAGCAAAGCTTTTGAGTCAAATCCAAGATTTACAAAGTTGGATTAACACAGCACAAGGTAAATCTTAGTGAGGAAAACAACAACTGATTGTGTATCTGGCTGGATATTGATATCTCTAAAAAAAGTTTATCTTTGGCAATTTTTGGCTTTAATAATTAAACTTCAATTTGACTGTAATAATAACATATTAAAAAATAAATTTGGAGGGGATTGTAAATGTATAGATTCTGACACCCTGAAATAATGATCTCAATGCAGAGAGAGCCAAGGGCAGCTCATCTCTGGTTCTGAGGAATTGGTAGGGGCTTCTATGTCTGCAGGAGCTTGGGCTCTCACACAGAGCTCTTACCTGTTAAAAATGTGATATAAAACTCAAAAGGCCTTATTTTTCCTATCAGCACTTAAAAGTTTTCATTATTAGAACAACCATGCCTCATTGCTTAGGTAAAAATTTATTTTAAAAGCTGTGCTATATAGGTGACTGTATCCCAAATATATTTAAAATCTTCACCTTTCTTGTGCAAATATTTTTCTGATCGTACTTACCATTAAGGCAATCCTGCAAACAGTTGAGAAATACATATTATTTTTCCATGAGTAACTTGGACTCAAAGCACCTTTGTGATAATTCCCAATAAATAAATTTAAATCTTTAAAGTCTCTGCATATAAGAGGTAAATTGACAAAATTGCAATGCTTTTTAAAATTTTAATTTCTTATTTGTGAGTGGCTTATTATGGTGTGTTACAGTATTCTTAGGATGCTTTAGCTATTGCTAACGGTAATAAATTACTTAACCCTATTTAAGACCTATTTAAGTTATGTAGTGTATTTCTCACATATCAAATATGTAAGAACTTATTTCATACAACACACGATGTCCACTATGATCTCACACTCATGTTTCCAAGATACAGGGCTGAATGTGGGTTGAATGTAGACTTTCAATTGTACACTGGTTTATTTAGGAAAGTATTTACACTCATACTTTGTGCCGCTCTTGCCTCGAGTAATGCCTTGTCATAATTATAGAGACATCACCTCTTTAGAAGTGTGCTGTGTGGACTAAGAACTTGGAAATACACTGACCAAGAGTCTCTGTGCAGCCAGAATAGATGCAGCAAACGCAGGCTCCTGCTTTTCACATGTAGCCAAGTACTGTGTGCAGTAAGACAGCACGTATTTGCTTGTTACTTCGGTGCACGGTCCCACCTCATTTGGTAGTCTGGTTTCTAAACCTGTGGCAGATTAATAACAGCAAATTAGAGGGGCTGGAGAAGCGGCGATGGCAAACACACCCCTGGCGATGAGAAATGACAGCTGACAGCATGGCTGTGGAGGAGAAAACAGAAAATCTATAGAGCACACGGCTTTAAAAGGCATTTGCAGACCGGGCCCTTCTAGCGTGATCAGTAAACGACAAGACAGCCAAACAGTCCGTGAGGGCATCTCTACATAACACAGCAGAGTGCTATAATTGATGTGCAAAATGATGACCTTATACCATCATGAGAAAGGATCCACCGCTGGGTACTTTGTCAGCCCTCCTGAAGGACTCATTGCATGGGCTTCCTGATAAGCTGAGATTTTGACATATCCTTGGAAACCTTAAAAATTAGAAAAAGTTAATATAAATATCTCTTTTAAGTGACCCATTTGTTGATAGATTAAAAAAATATAAAGGAGACATACACATAATCATTGCCTAATAAAGGCCTCCTGGACTTGAATTTTAGCAATAATGTATGACTTCTAAAATATTTCAAAAGAGATTTAAGATTTAAATCTAGCTGAAACTTTTGCAGCTGTTTTGTCTTTATGGTCACATACTTGTTCTTAGTTATGCAGAAAAAGATGTCGGTATTCTTGGACTTTTTATATAGAGGGGTCTGTGTGTGTGTGTCTGTCTGTCTGTGGCTGTGCACATACCATGGAATCGTGAGAATTGTGAAGTTAGATGTCAAAGATTCATTAGCAATGCACTGCCATGACATGTTCAGATTTTAATTTTTACTAAGCATATCCGTATTTGCCTTGTTTTTAAGCAATTGTAAGTAAGCACACAAATGCAGTCCTTATGTTTTCATCATGGGAAGAGAAAATTTCTAACAGACTCTTAGCAAGGGAAGTAAGGCTGTAGCTTAGCTAGCGTGAGGTCCCACTATTGCTATGGCTATCACAATCTGTCATTTGATTCTTGGCTCTGTGGTGTCACATAATAATACAGTTATTGAAATGGTCTGGAGTCTCTGTACACTCTGACTAAAACATAGTTATGTGGATAAGATTTTGGTAGCGCAGTGATGAAAAACATTGGAATTTAGAGTGAAGTCCTGACTCTGGCTAGTTGCTGACGTATCTTTCAGCCCTTCTCCACTCAAACATGTATTTTTCCTTAAAGAAACTCTACTATGCATGACAGTTTGTCTTAGGTTTTTAACCTTTGCAAATCTAGCTGTCCTTGTTGTTTGAAGGTGATTTTTTTGATCCCCTGTGGGTTAGACTTGTAGTTTGTTTTTCTCATTAGTGGTGATAGATTTGCATGGATTTAGACACACACTCTAGCTTCTGATTTTGTTTCATCCACTGTCATGTGTTTGCAGAGGTAATGGATTTGCAGCTGTAGAAGACTGCGGAACTGTGCAACACACTGAGTTGCCAGACCCTGTGACTTCAGCTGGATTAGCGTGGCACCGTACATGTGTATATTTTAGAGATTATTGGATCTTAGCGGTATGGATTTCTAGGGCATTTAAGTTTGATTTTCAAGACTTGTTTTGAAGGAAAACAATGTTTCAAGCTCATTGCTTATGAATACTACTTAGGCAAATGTGAGTGTGATGTGTGTTAACTGTTAGTAACAGGCTCTGTGAGTATTGGTACAGCTCCTATCAGCGTTATTAATATAGCTTATGTTTGGGGCAAGAGCCTAGAGCTTCAAATTCTGTGTCATTTGTTGTTTTTTAAAGTAAGCGTAGGTAAAAAGACTCCCTAAATAGCCCCTATGAAGAGCTATTTGTTTTGAAGTCGCAAATGGGAAAGGGAAGAAGAAAGGCTCTCTCTAAAATGTTGTGGGGGCACCCATAATTTAAACTGATGCTACAGACAGAAAGTATTATTTTCACAAACAAAACATAGTGGATTACTCATTTTCCATTTCTGGATGATGAAAATGTCGTACATCTGTATCATGTTTGTCTCAAAGTGAATGGCATACTATACTCAAAAGTGAAGCAGGCTTGACTGCGGAGTTGCCAAGGTAACTGACCAGCAAGTGTACGGTTCAGCGGACTACAGAAAGCAATTGAGTGCACACGAAGAAGGAAATGTAGGTATCTTAAAACCCAGGAGACCATGGTAAATTGTGGCTTGACTTTGTAGACTGCAGACTTTTTTTTTTAAGTCAGAATCTGAGATATTCTGTGGAGGTCCATGGAGTGAGGTGCTAATGGAGAGGCAGGAACCCTTAAATGGTTCTCCTTCAGGCCCTGTGGAAGGCTGTAAAGAAAACAGAATCATTTCGGGCGGGGATTTAGCTCAGTGCAAGCTCAAGGACCCGAGTTCAATCCCCAGTACCAAAAAAAAAGGAAACAGAATCATTTCAATATTAAGCATGAACAGCCTTTTTGCTTCATAGGCCAGCTTTTACTATCTCATAGCCAAAACTATTAATAGTTAATGACATAAATGGAAGATCGTATTCATATTCCATAAACCTTAAATATTGCTTGTTTTGTCTACTAGCACAAGACTAGTGTTTATTTCTACAATGCTTTGTATTGGAATATTTCATCCATTCTATAGGCATTGGTGAAATTATTCAAATACATTTAACACTCTTCTAGGTGTGCAGAAAATGATGAGATAAATAAAAATACTGCACCACATGATGTTTTAAATATCTAGAAAGAGTAAAAGACATTCAGATGAGATCTTTACAGATTATTTAAAATATTCCTATACTTTGGACGTAGGATTGTAATTGGGAATTTAAACACCTTTAAGACAGAATGAAACAACTTCTCAGCAGAAGCTTGAAACTCTCCATAATTTGACTCTGCTTTTCTTCTTTGTTTTGCTTCACCCTAAAACAAACGCCACAGTCTGGCATCCATGGCTTACTTCACTTCCTTAGAAGGACCTCACAGCCTGATGGAAGGCCTGAGTTCCCCATCTCTGAGTTCTAAAACCTACTAGTGTTTTAAGAGCCATCGTAAGTTCAATCCCTTCTGCAAATCTTTTCAAGATCTTTTCAGTATCTTACAGGGATTGCCGGAGGGATTTCTACCTCCAGGATAATGTCTAGTTGAGTGAATGTTGTTCCCCTAAACTGGATGGTGAATCCTTGGAAAGCAGAGACAGAGTCTCTTGTCATCACATGCCCCACTGCATTTAGAGTTTAGGACATGTTGTGGTACTGAACTGGTTAAAATCAAAAGTCAAATTCTCATTCTTACGATTTTTTTCTATGACTCATTCATTGTCATTTGAAATAGAATCATTTCCACAAGTGAGTGAATAATCCTTGGGTAGAAGTCAGGCACTGTAGAAGCTGTGGGAAACTTCTAATGAGTATTAGTGCAGAGCAAGTTAGGAAGGAGTCTCTACATCCCTAGTTAAACCTAACTTGCAGCTTTCTTTTTTCTCACAAGGCCTTTGAAGTTGTGTTTTTAGTAGTCAAGTTATGGATATGTGAAACTACAAGCCAAATATTTTAATTCAGCTTGCCTTTTTTGGCAGCCATCCACAGAGCTGCAAGGACAAGTTTTCACAGATAAAGAAACGTTTTATAAGAGTTTCTATTTTTAATATTGAAAAATTTACTACCATCCGTGATCTCGCTATTCAGGGTTTTTATTAAGTTGTGAGCTTGGCGTGAGCAGCCTTGGGGTCCTGAGGTTAATTGCCACATTTACAAATTCATCAGTGACTAAGAGAAAGGATGGGCCTGATAGGGTTTATCTGTCTAAAAATTTCAGCAACTAGCCAATCCAGAAGATAGAAATCCTCTGCAGAGGTGACAAGGGTAATAGCAGTAATGTGTTGGTAGAGATGATGATATCAGAAGAATAACAATAGATGCAAACTATTCAGACCAATTTGGCCATTTTAATGTACTCATGTCTTATTCGTAAGTAAATTGTAAATCATTAAATTGGCCCGGGTTCACTTAAAGAAATTATTTGTACTAAATTGTATCAGATAATTGTTAATGCCTATTTAGGAGGTAGCCTAATATAATCACTTACGCTGTTTGAATTATTAAATGTCAAGAACAGGGGGAATGGAATAAATTAATTATTTCTGGAGTGATATGAAAAATAAATGGTCAGAAACAGTGTGCAAAGCTTTTTTTTAGAAGTACACATAAGAGTTCCCTTGTGTATTTTGATGGAATTATATGGTCTGATTTTATTTGTCTAGAAAACAATTAGTACAGTCTACATTCTCACTATTTAAAAATGACTCTATTAAGAAAAAAAAAACTGCAGTAATTGTACAGTTGGCCAGTTCCTAGGATATATTTTGTTGGTAATACTAATTTGAAGTAAAAAGAAATTACCAAAATGATACTATGGATGTCTTCATTATTTAATAGAAATTAAAAATATTAAACGTGTGTCATTTAATTTGCATAGTATTTAAAAAGTTTCTAACCAAGAGTTTTCCCATGTTTTGTCCTAAAATTACTTCCTCTTACAAAATTAACAGTTCTCTTGCATGTTGTTTTGTTTTCTCAGGAATTTTTGGATAGTGAAATATTAAGGGCTAAGCTGCATTGTGAGGACCTACCTCATCACTTATCAGTCTCTTATCTTCCCCTTTTGTTTGCAGTGTACACTATTTTCTCGAAGGTGCACTCTGACTGGAATGTGTACCCGTCTGCTGGTGTCCTCTTTGTTCATGTTTTGGAAAGAGAATATTTTAAGGGGGAATTCCCACCTTACCCAAAACCTGGTATGTTCTCTGTGGAGAAAAAGGTGGTTCATTGACTATTTCTTCTTGTTTCATGTGCATACTTTAGATGGTATATAAAAATATTAACATTATTTAGGTCAGAATACCTCATAAATTGGTGGTTATAGTATATTTCTCATTTCAAGGTTAGAAATTTAATAACAGAAGGAATTTTTGAATTTTTGAAAAAGTCTTATTTCTGGGTTCTCAGTCTTAAGTGATCTTACCTATCAAATGATCTATCTATATTCACATAAATACAGCTTTACAATTATGATTTTCCAATTACAACTTAGATTTTTACATAGTACATTGATTTTTGAAAAGCAATACATATATTATTGAAAAGTATGAACTATAGCATTAAGTAAGCTTTCTTAAAAAAGCTTTTATAATATGAGATAATTTACAAGACTTCATAATAATATAATAGGGGTTAATTTTTTTCTTCAAACTAATAGCAATTATGAAGTATTATTTACTTCATTCTTGGTTAGAATATGCTGTTTTGAAGTATCACAAGTGCCATCACATTAATGAAGATTTAGAATGTATAGCAAGAACAAACATATTAAGTTCTACTCTTCTAGCTCTTCAGTAAGAAATAAAAATGACTTTTCTGAAAATTGTTTTGTAAGAACACATTTTTAACATTAGAATTAATATAAATATTATTTTGTGTGTGAATAACATGTCTGACTGAATACAGGTAGACATTCTTAATGGATAGTAAGACAAAAAGATGGTGTTTTCATCACTTATTTTGAAAATATTTCATTACGAGACTTTCCATGTTTGAGTCAACCAGGATTAACTTCTAGTTTCACCTCCTTTTTTTGGTACCAGGGATAGAACCAGGGACCTTGCGTTTGCGAGACAGGTGGAGGAACCACTGAGCTAAATACCCGGACCTCTAGTTTTACCCCTTCTATGATCATGGATAAGTTCCTTAATATGGAAAATTACTATTTTCCACCAATAAAATTAGAGCTAATAAGAGCACCATTTTCATAGGTATGTTTGAAAATAAGATGATGTAGTGCTTGTGAAGGATTTAACGTGTCCAGGCACATGCTAATCAATCATACTGTTACTAATGCTTATTATTGGTAAAAATTGTCATTATTACAATTGTTTTAGATTTATAACATCTTTTTAGTCTATTCTCTAATGTTTTAAAATTACTTTTGTTTTAAGTATTCCTTTACAGCTTTTTAGGTATTACTTCGTATTAGTTTGATAATGTCTAGAATTTCATGAGAGGAATGCCTCTCAAAAAATGGTTTTATCAAGTGAAATAAATAAGTCACACATGTGTAAATACCGAATAGTTTCCCTGGTGTGAATAATCTGCAAGAATGCATAAGATTCTAATAACATTACTGACCTTTAGAAATGGGAAGAAAGGAGCTAAAGGTGTAGGGAAGGTGGGATGGGTAGGGGAAGAGTAAAAAAGGGAAAAGAAAAAAATGTGAGAGAATGAAAAGATGAAAATAAAGTGTTTGTAGATGGGGAGGGGAGGAGGGGGTGAAGGGAGGGCAGAGGTAAGGGGAAAAAATGAGAATCAAGACCTGTCATGTAGAGGTACAAGATCCCAACAATGAATGTAACTGTACTGTATCCCTAAAATGTACCAATAAACTCAATTAAAGCTGAAAAAAATAAAATAAAATAAATAGATGGAGATTTGGAGACTTTTATGAAAAATAGTTGTTTCACTGGCAGAACTGGTCGGCTCTGAAGTGCTTCTCCTAAAAAAGTTCCAAGAAAATTGCATGAATCTGCTTTCTTTTATGGATTGAATTTCTAGACAAACAACCCAAAGAGTTTTTCATTACACGAGGCCCTAATCTAAAATTTCCAGATAGATTTTTTTGAGTGTGTATTTTGTTTACTATAAATGTAAAAACATTTTTGGACAGAATGTCTTGATTGAAACTGCCAAAGCAACATGTGTGAAAATAACTGTCTTATGTCTTAATTCTGCATTTCTTATCTAGGCGAAATTAGTAACGATCCCATTACATTCAACACCAATTTAATGGGTTACCCAGACCGACCCGGATGGCTTCGATATATCCAAAGGACGCCATATAGTGATGGAGTCCTATATGGGTCTCCAGCTGCTGAAAATGTGGGGAAACCAACGATCATTGAGGTGATTTATTTAAAACAGCTAAATTAAATATATACATGTGAAATAGAAAATTTTAATTTGAATTTTAATTGTTACAGTTATATGGCAATAATGGTCACAATATTTTGTGCATGACCTCACATGAGTTAACATTTAAAAATGGAACATGCCTTTCTATTGTTTTGTAAAGTTTTTTTGTTTCAATTACTATAGTAAAAATGATAGTTTAAATTAATGAAAATAAAAATAAAGACAGGAGCTGGGGGTGGTGGTGCATGCCTGTAATCCCAGCACTTGGGAGGCTGAGTCAGGAGGATCACTGTGAGTTGGAGACCAGCCTGGGCTACATAGTGAGTTCCAGGTCAGTCTTAATTACATAGTGAGACCCTGCCTCAAAAAACCAAAATAAATAAATAAATAAAGACAGGGACAAAGAGATGGATAAAAAGGGGAGACAGAGAAAGAAAGAGGATGAGAAAAGGAATTAGGATGTGTCATGTACACGTACCACATTCCCACAAGGAATGTGAACATTCTGTACTGCACACGTGTGCTAATAAACCGAAAATAATAAATTAGGGAAAATGTTAAGTGACACTTAAAAGAAATAGATTGCAGTATGAATTCTATTTACCAAAATAGATACAAGCTTAGAAATACTCCTTTGCTCTGTGTTTTCAATTCAAATATCACATTCATCGAAATATGGTGAATCAGCAGACATTTTCTGTGCTGAGCATTGTGAAAAGTGCTTAGGGTTGGAAAAGTGAATAACAAGTGAGTTTTGCCATGGCCTAGAGTCGAGGGGTTTGGACACTGGGATAGAAACATTTTGTTGCCAACACTGGAATAGCTTCTGAAACAAGAAGGAATTCATTCACTAGGTGTAGTAGAAGCATTCTTGGACAGAGGAACAATACATCAAAGTCTTAGACGGGATGGGGTGTAGTTCAGTGGTGGGGCACTTGTGTAGCGTGTGCAAGGCCCTAGGTTCAATGCCTCGAAGCATTAAAATAATCGTGGAGGTATAGACAATTACATGGTTTTGAGAACTACGTACATGGCTAAAGGGTAGAATGCACCTCATTGGCCAACGATAATTCCCAGAGTTACTGATGTTAGTAAAGGCAAAACTTTGAGGGCTCTGTAAGCCATGCTGATATGTTTAGCCTTTATCCTAAAAGTGTTGGTGATGTTTTAATTCATCAAGTTTTTACAAATACCTAATGTCATACCTGGAAATTAGAAATTAAAACATATATTAGAAATGAAAGCAACAATAACAAAATGATCACATCGAAACTTTCATGCATATTAATACTTTAAAAAATGAATGGATATAAAAAGTACAAGTGCTTCACTGTTTATCTTATCCAGAAAATCAGAATTTTAATGGCAGTTAGTGGCAAGAGAGTATTACGTAGTTATAGGCTCTGATGCCTCCAGGATCTTAGATTCTGAATTGAGTGTTCAATTCCATAAAACATTTACTGGTAAGGACACAGGCAGCAACACAGGAACTGCCAGATGAATTGCTGGGAGTTTATAGAAGTCCCAGGTGTGTATTTTCTACCAGGTATGAATCTATAGGACATTACCCGCTTAAATTTTTCTCCAAAGTTTTAATAATCCCTGGACTGTGGATATGAGTGTCCATGTGGGCCGAGAGTTTTTGTTTATTTGGAACTGACCCATTAACATGATTTTTCAATGAATTCTGTCAATTTGCCTCCTTAGGGTATATAGACATAAGATAGTACATATAAAAATAGGTATAAGAAACTTGTTTTGAATTATTATCAAATTAATTTTTAAATGTATGGTAAAAATTATAAACAAAATATGTAAGTCTGATTTACCATGTTACCACATTAAACAAGAAAAAAAGCCTCTCTTGATAATTACCGAGAAAGTTTTTAATAATATTAATACCTACCTTTGATAAGAAAACGTAACTATTATAAAAATAGCAGAAGTGAACATCCTTAAATTGATACGGTTTACCAAAATATAAGAGCAGACATCATCCTTAATGTGAAAAAGTTAGAAAAATTTTACTTAAATTCAGGAACAAAACAAGAATGACCTCCTTCTCTATGTCTGTTACAGGATATATTGGCAGTTGTAGGCCAGAGCAGTAAAGAAAGAACAAGAAATTAAGTCTCTGAGAACTTGAAAGGAAGAAATTGAATGGTCAGTGATATAAACAGCCTATAAATTTTATGAATACGTTTAGGAAAACCAGCAGCAAGTCAGAGGATCAATATAAAATTAGTACACTTTTATATATGAATAACAAGTATTGAGAACATGTATGCTTTTAAAAAGCATGTATTGCCTTGATGCCCATCACCATAAAATACAGGTTTTTTAACAATAACAAAAAGTCCAAGATAATAGCAATAAATATAACAGAAAGAATGCAGGAAATTTAAAAATCTCTATCAATATTAAAGAATACCTAACATTAATTAAAAGGTACTTGAGAATAGGAAAAATCTGTAGCATGAAGGGATCACTTTCCTCCAACTAATACATACACTCAGTGTAATTCCAATAAAAGTTGCAGTGTTTTTTTTTTTGTTTTGTTTTGTTTTCATGAACTAACAGGCTGATTCTAAAATGTATGAGGAAGGTTATAGGCCAGGAATAACCAAGAGAGTCCTTATTAAAAAAAAAACAAAACAGGAAGGGTTTCTCTTCTTGTGATATCAATATTATAAATCTACTATAGTTATCATAAGGTCACATTAACACAGGCATGGACAAGTTAACTGAAGGAGAGAAGAGAGCACCCAGAAACAGATCTGTGTGAAGAACAGTGAGCTGTGTCAGTGGAGTTGGTGCCACAGGTCATTGAGAAAAAGAATGTCAGTTTCTTGAATGGTGCTCAGATAATTGGTTAGCCATATGAAAAAACCTAAGATTAGATATTTCCTACCAAACACAAAACTCAAATACATAGATAAAGTATTAAATGTGAAAAGCAAATTTTAAAACTCTTACATTAAAATGTAGAAGAATCTCTTTCTAACCTTAGGTTTGGGAAGAATTATTTAAATCAAACCTAAATATTTTTATTGAAGAGAAAAAGATAATTTTTTACTGTTACATGTGAACTGCTCATCAAAATAAATGATTAAAAAAATCAACCCGGCAACTGAAAGACGATATTTTTAGTACATGTAGCCAATGGTGAAAATGTGAAAGATGAAAGAAATCCTGACATTCGATAAGAAAAGGACATTTCCCTAAACAGGATGCACAGCTGCTGAGAAACTTGTAAAGATGCTTATTTTTATTAGTAATACACAAACTAAGACCACGATTAGAATTTTTTAAAATTTGTGGCAGGTACATGTGGGACTCGGGATAATCGCTTTGGAACGCAGTACTGTCTTCCACAATACAGCGTGACTGACTTCTGTGAGCCAGCCGTCCTCCTCCTAGGTTTATACCCAAAGGATACCCTTGTAAACGCCTACTTGGCGGCCTATACAGTGGTACACATTCAACATTGTATAACAAGACACCAGAAATCCACCGAATTGTAGGGACCCAGAATTCTGTCATGAAGAGAAGAGATTAGTACATCACGATATATTTATGTAGTCAGTGTTAAGAGCAACAAAGACTTTAAGCGTGCCCAGCATCGTGGATAAGAGTTTTAAAACAGTGCTGGGGGGGGAAACAAAAGTGTTCTAGAGAGCACCAGATGACTTCATGTACAGATTGTCATTTTAGTCGAGTTCAAAACCAAGGAAACTAAACCATATATTTTAAGCATACGTGAATGAGATGTTAAGCACAAGCTTCACAGTGACTACCTTCTGCTTGGGTAGAGGCCAGGTGTTGTGATGGGAGAGAAACACGTCGTGCTGAGATGGGTTCAAGAAAGTTCATTATGTTCTATACCTTACTACTAACATACAGTGTTATGAATAGTATATGTCACATAAATGCCAGGAGAACGATGATGAAAGTTTAGTGTGTCTTTTGTAAACTGCAAGCAGTGATTGACTTGTAAATACCTCATTTTGCAGCCAAATATCATAGTAGGTATATTAAAATGCTGTTCTATTCATTTAGTAAAGAATTTACATATCTCGAACTGTTCAGTCATATAAATCTGATCAATTCATTCAATATATTATTTATCTCAAATATTTAGAATTTAAACATCTAAAAGATATCAGGCATTGTCTTAGAAGATCAAAAATAAAGCACATATTCCTATCCCCTGCTCAAAGGTCTTCGTGGTTTGTAATAAGTAAAATTGGACTAAGGTCATTGTCATGCTTAAATATCTTACCAGAGAGGATAGAATACATTCTGTTACAACTGATAAAATTAAGCATTAGCTATAAATTCAGATAAAATTCTCCTTAATATGAAAAATTCTTCACTCCTTTTAGTAGCCTGTGATTTTTTAAAAAAATCATAGTTTGTGGAACTAACAGTAATGAAACTTGGAATAAATTTGGGAAGGTTATCCATAAAAGTACTACAATTAATATGAAAATACCTGTATTTTCTGAGCTAAAGTTTCAAGATATAGAGAAGATAGATAGGCTTTTTTTGCAGGGTAAACTTCTGAAATCGTGAATAGTCCCAGTTGATACCCATTTTACATTTTTTTCATTTGCTTCATTCAAATGATATTTCCTACTTATTTTTAGTGACTAATCTTAATTTTTTTCAGTGTGAACCTAAGAAAATACATGTCCAAAGAGCAGAAAGGCAGTGATTAAATTTAGTGGAAATTTGACAAATTGCAGAGAGAGAGAGAGTTCTTTTCACTTTGTGCAGTAATATTCCTTGCAGAATATATATACTTTTAAAATATTGTTTAAAGTTTGGTATAACTTAGTCCAAAATTCTGATTCTTTCTATACTCTCAGTATAACTGATATTGTAATTTATTTCTTTTAAAGCTCATATATTATGTATAAAAGCCTTTGATATTTATTTTTAAATGCACAGATATTTCTTTTCAGTTTGAGGCATTTTATCCTACTCTTTTTGTCTCAGTATCAACTGCGGCTCCAATCACTGCCAGAGGCTAGTGCTGGAATTCTAAGACTTTGACATAATCATTTGTTTTTTTGAGGTACTATGATATGTCTGAATGATTTCATATCTGTCATAAAATTAATTGTTTCTTGATTTTTGAGGCCCTATCCTGTTAATGGCCTTTGCTTCATTTGTTGTTTGCAGTGGCTGTTTCTGGGTTGACCTTAATATAAGTTCCTTAGCTGTGCAAATGTTTACTAATATCTGACTTTATGAAGGGGTTGTGTTTTTGAGCATGCACCATAAGCTTTATAGGTTATGATCCCAGCTACTTTGTTCCTATTATAAGAGGGGTATGATTTCCAAAGGATTGTGTTTGACTTCTTTTTTGGTACCAAGGTTCAAACTCAGGACCTTTGCACTTTTGAGGCAGGCGTGGTGTCAGCTGAGCTAAATCATCATATTACAGGGATGCACACATACTCATGTTCATAACAGCACTGTTCATAATAGCTAAATCTTGGAAACAGCCTATATGCCTATCAGCAGATGAATGGATAAAGAAAATGTGGTATTTACACACAGTGGAGTACTACTCTGCCATAATAAAGATAAACTTGAGTCATTTGTAGGAAAATGGATGCACTTTGACATCATAATGTTGTGTGAAATAAGTCAAACCCAAATTATAAATAAAGAGCAAGATAAAAGATAGATAACAGGAGGTAGGGAGATAGATCCTTTTCAAATGGGGATGACATCACGAGAAGGAAGGAAAAGGAGATGAAGAAAGAAATTATGTATATGTGCCACCTCCACACAAGGAATGTAATCTTTATGTACTCCAAACGTGTACTAATAAAAAACATAGAGTAAATGAATAAAAATAAAGTGTACTTTGCACTGTAATCCTTAAACGCCATTTCAAAGCATAAAAATAAATTAATTAGTTTTTTTGAAATCTTAGCACTGGTAAGAGATTCGTAATGGTTAATTCATTTACTAATGATGCATTCACATGGCTATATGTGCTTAATAGCCTTTTATGAAAGCATCTTCCTGCATTTAATTGTTTGTTTCCGCATGTCTCATAGACCTAACTGATTATTTATTTTCATATAATGTAGCTAAAAACCTTAAGGTTTTATTGCCTAGAAAAGGAATATTTCTTAAGGATATCAACAAATAATGAAAATGGAAAGAACCATTTGTTTTCATTTTTGTTGGCAATGCATTTCATTTTAGAAGTGGCATTTTATTTCTAATATGGCTTTTCTTTTCTAATAGATAACTGCCTACAATAGGCGAACCTTTGAGACTGCAAGGCATAATTTGATAATTAATATAATGTCAGCAGAAGGTAGGTATGGAAAAATGTGTTGGTGATAATCTCCTTACTGATAAATATTTCATGACATTTTACTACTCTAAAATATAGGTAAGGATTTTAAAGCATCACATACCTAATATAACTGATAGAATAGTAAAATGTAGGAAAGAAGCTAAGCAACACCTAATTTGTTATGAAATATCACAGCGTGTGATGGTGAAGAACCAGTGGTGGTGAACAGATGGACCATGGATTTCTCTAATCCTTGGTGTCATCATCTGTAAAATGATACTAAGAAGAACCTTTCATGACTTTGTACTAATGGTTCTATGAGTAAAGTTTTGAAATGTGCTTAACACAGATCACAGAGTATACAATCAGTGGTGGCTAGCTAGTTTTATTTTATTTTAAAATTTACCATAGATTCTAGTTATGTGAGGTTAAACTAATTTGGGACCTAGTTTCCTTGCTAAATTATCTAATGAGGTGTGATTGTTAGAGTCCATGAACAATTCAAAGTTACATGTGCTCAAATTGTAAGTGACTTTAAGACTTTTGAAGGTCAGGGGCAAGGAAAATATTCCAAGAGTTACATTCTCAAATGTTTTGACCTTCTTTTAGCAATTAACTGGAGAAAACATATATTACCAGAAACTAAAGTTAACGAATCATAGGAGAATCCCCTCTGTACCTTGATATCATCTGTGAAAGTAACAGGAGAGGGATTGGTACAGAATTTATTTCCTCTGGAAATACTAAAATAATTACAGTCGGATTTTTTTTTTGCTTTTGTTTGCTAGTAAAATTAAAAACAAGCAAGCAAAGAATAACACATTTAACCAAAATCTGCTAGTTTTGAATTTATGACAATTCAGTAAGTTTGGTAATCCATTCATGGAAGGACTGCAGAGAGACCTGAACAACCTTAAGTGAATTCTTTCCAGTGCAGTACCGACTGCACACAACACATGGCCTAGTCAAAAATTTCAGGTGATCATCACCTACCAAAAGCAGTTCCAAGGGCCAGTTCTGTGGGCCTGGCTAGAGAACTCCTTGCACTTTTTACATGTTGTCATTGATGTAAAGGAACCCATAATCAAGCAGATGCTAATGGAAATCTGCTAGACAGCCAAAAATTGGTGTTAGGGACTGCTTGTCTGAGTCAGGGCTTTAAAGCTGTGCTGCTGAGGGATGGACAGCAGACGAGTTTTGGAAACCCCCTCCTTCATGTTAGGCAGAGCTCCTCCACTGCCCTTTATGTGGGCCACGGTGACCCCAAACTGTTTGAAAACCACTGAACTTAAAGGTCATGCATGTGTCCTTGCCGGTCCAGACAGAGTATATATGTACTCTAGGATGAATGTCTTTGAACATGGCCTTCGCTCATGCTGTTTGTCTCAGATAAGGTTTAGAGAAAGAAATAACAAAGTTGTAAATCAGGGTAATCATGCTCTGTCCGATTCTCTGCTCAACTGTCTGCTGTTTGGAGAGTCTGAATGGGAAATTGGTCATATAGACTCACAGCCAGGAGCTCGAGGCAGGTACATGAAGAGATTCTCTAAACTGAGTTTAGCACCTCAGAGGCCCGCCACCAATCTGTTGGCCTACTGTTCTCTTGGCCTCTGTGACTTCCAAATATAGTAAGCATGGGATTTCCCCAGAGTGACTCATCTTCAGGAGGCCTCGCAGCAGCTCCTGGCTCAGGAGTGAGCAGGCAGCTGCACAGCCCAGCTTTTGAGGGGTGGAGTGCAGTGACGAGCTTTATGGCCTGTCTCAGAAACGGAGCTACAAAGCTGGGTAATATGGATTAGGAAAAGCCAAATAACAGTTTTCTGAAATGTTGCACCAATAATGTCAAAGAAGCTGCACATGCTCTTTTGGAAAACTAGATGTAAAATCATTGAATGAAAGGAGTGATCAGAGACTCATGACATATTCAAAAATTACATTTGGTATTAATTATAAATACTACATTATTTATTGCCGAGAAACTCTTCTTCGTGATTCATTTCTGCATGACCATTTCTAGGTATGAGGAAAATGTCCCATGATTAAGCTACTGTTTATCTGGATAAAAGGGGAATATGTCTTCATAGACGGGATGCTCCTCTACCTGAAAGAATGGATCACATTGGAGAATACTGCACATGGGCTGTACATTGAGCAAATCTGCAGAATCATAAACAGAATAGAGGGCAGTATAGGAGAAAAGTAAAGAACTTTGTGGAATGAGAGCTTGAAGAGCTCAATTTTCAGGAAGCGTTGGCCTATTCTAGACAACTACTAAAAGCTTTGAAGCTAGAGTTTCTCTGGCACCCAGTGGCCTTTAGTATCACAGAGGCTTCCAAAAAAGTAAGACCATATTTTGGATGCGTATCATGTAATGTTTACTTTTTATTTATTTGTCAGGAGTAAAAACCTTTCTAGATTCATGGATTTTGTTGAAATTAAATAGAGGCTTTGCCCGAGTTTGATCCCCGGTACCAAAAAACAAAACACAAAACAAAACAAAAAAACCAGAGGCTATCTATAATATAATTACTATTGGGGACTTAACATCTGTGTACAGTCCAGAGGTGTTGTCTTGTCCTTTTAAACAACTCAGATAATTGACCATTTCATATTAATGTACTGAGTTAAAATGTTAATATTGTATAAAATTACCGTGTTTTAGAACACTGCTAAGAAGTTGTTAGTCTCCTTTAGAGGAAAGTTATATGAGGGAAGTCCCTGGACCTCTCTGAAGATATACTTCCCACCTTCAAATGTAGGAAATTTATACGAATCTGTTCACCTCCCTCTTTGAGAATTAAATGTAATTCACCTGTGTCTTATAGTCAGACCTGCTTCATAATGTTTCTTAAAACTTAATCTTTATTGTACCAAAAGTAGTATTAAATACACAGAAAGTAGTTTTTTATCTTAATAGAGCAATCACTCTACCAAATATGGTTAGTAATTCAAGAGTAACACTTGAGAAGCCAGTACTTTTATATTTACTGAGAGTCATTTATATTGACAATAAATTTTGGGGTTGACTTAAAGCATTAACTTAGAAATGTTCAAAAAGAGAATTTTGATGAGACTTGAGCAGAAAGCTAACTAAATTTATAAGGATTTGAGATGTAGAATTGCATGAAAACTTTATAATATTCTAGGATATTTAACTATAGAATGATTAAAATAAAAGTTCTCTGATCCTTAGATTCTTATTAGATCTAATCAATATTTATTGTAGAAAAAAATAATGCTTTGCCTTGCTCCAAACAATATTAATAATATAATGAATTTAAAATACAGATTTGGTTTTTGCAGTTTTTTTGCCATACCCTGTAATTATAAAGTGCTCAGTTGGATTTTTACTGTATTATAGATAGCATTCTGTCTTATGTATACTGTCATGGTAGGTGTATCAGCTGTTATATAAAAAGCCTTTAAAGTTAGTTCAGTCCTTCCTCCGTGTTCACAGGCCTTGATTCCTGGACCCTGTGGACCACAGTCTGCAAGGTTTCTCAGGTTCCTCCTCGGAAATGACCTGGATTTGTCCATAACCTGTGCACATCCTCCTGTTTACATCACCTCTGCGTTACCTCTACCTCGTACAATTCAGATGCTATGTGAATAGTTGTTATAATGTGTTATTTAGGGAATAATGACAAGAAAACGCTTGTATACGTTCAGTACAGATACATTGTTCTTTTAAATTTTAGGTCCACAGTCAGTATAATCTGAGAGTGTGTAACCAGGGGATGTAGAGACCTTTATCATATTGCTGCCCACTGCTAGGTTATGACAGAACTCGACAAATCTCAAACTGTTCTTTTGTTAAAAAAAAAAAAAACTACTTCATTAAAGTATGCATATCCTTTTTGTTTTACCCAAATTAGACTTCCCATTGCCCTATCAAGCAGAATTCTTCATTAAAAATATGAATGTGGAAGAAATGTTGGCAAGTGAGGTTCTTGGAGACTTTTTGGGGGCAGTGAAAAATGTGTGGCAGCCAGAGCACCTGAATGCTATCAACATCACGTCAGCCCTAGACAGGGGCGGCAGGGTGCCGCTTCCCATTAATGACATGAAGGAAGGGTAAGCACACCTTGTCTCATTGCCTTAAATATGGACTTTTATCCCTATTCAATGTGGTGAAATTGTCAAACTTATTACAAATGAAAAGTGGGCCTATTGCATTTTTCTTTTTAATCAGAAATAGATGCTATAAAGATGTGAACATACTAACCATTTTCTTTATTGACAGAGAGTGGTGTTGATGGTTCTTTAACTCTCAGGTCCTAGGTCCTGTGAAATCCAATTGTAGATCAGGATGAAGAGCCTGAATTAGAGCAATAAGTTTTCTGTACCTTCCATAAAGCTTATTCTTTAGGGCCATGAATTTCGATGGAAATTGATGCCCAAGTTATCAGCTGTAGAAGGATGCACTGACTGCTGTAATTTTATTCTAGGAAACTATTTCTTCGTCTTTAACATTCTTTCCACCATGTGTCGGTGACTGATGGCTGGAGTGAATTTGAAACCCATTCCTGTGACACAAGAGCCTAAAGCCTGGTCTTGTCACTCACAGACTGGTGACATAGGCAAATGCGCGACCCCTCTGTGCCTCAGTTTCCTTTTCTGTCCATTGGGGGTAATTTTCTCTCCCTCCCTCTCTCTCTCTCTCTGTCTCTCTCTCTCTCTCTCTCAGGGTTGTTGTAAGGATTAAATGCATATTTTTTAGTTCTCATGCAGTGCAAACACGAAGTGTGACTTGTGTCCTCAGAAGTCAAGAAACACTCCTGCCTGAGTAAATTGAAAGCATCAAAGTTAATACCAAGCTGAACTTTCGCCTTTAATTTCTCATCTGTGGATTGGTACAGAATTGCTTTTCCTCCCATCCTATCACACACAACCTGTGGAATAAATCGCATTTGGCACAGAATTTCCCTTTCTGACTCCTCCTTCGTCCATAGCCCTCCTGGTAACGCCTTTGTACAGGAGATACCTGAAATTGACTAGGGTACCTGGATTAGTAAGAATTAGATTTCAGAGCAGCTAGGAGAAATTTGGTGAAAATAACAGAAAAGATCACAAGTACACATAAATGAAGTCTAAGGGAGTAGGCAGGAGAGAGTTGGGAAAAGCAGTGATCTATAAAGTCCAACTTAAAATGTTGAGAATTAAGTTTTATCCTCTGCATGACAGCAGTGGATTTTGAAGTCAGTCAAGCACACCTAGAAATGCTTTGAGGAAAACAGTTGGTTTATCTCTGCTTCACGGGCTAGTTGGCTTTCTATGTGAAAACATAATTCTAGAGCTTAGAGTTTCACTGCAGGATCTCTTTCCCACCAAGTGATTTAAAAAAGCAGAAATATAGAACGGGGGATGCACAGGGGAATCCTCCTGACAACAATCTCCAAATATGAAACCTTTTCAAGTGTTTTCTTTGCTGTATTCCATGGTGATTGTTAAAACAGTCATCAACAGGTATTGGAAGAAACAGTACGAAAACCAGCCACCAGTGGAGTTTTCCATAGTTGTGCTTCCTACTGAGAAGCACATGAGTAGAGCTGACTCCACTTTTAGAACCTGAACTACACTACGTTGAACTAAGCAACTCCATTAACCAAACCCTGACCTAAATCAGGGCTTCCCAACTACAGTGATTCATTCCTCCTTTGTCAAACTCAGTTTGTTCCAAATTCACATTTGAACACCAAAAAATTAAAGAACCGAACAGTTTTCCCATAAGAAATAATGAAAACCAAGTAATTGGTTCTACACCCCCCCAAATTACACTTATGGATTCCTTTTTCCAAGAGTTGAACAAATTTCACAGTGAAATTTTCCCAGTGAGATCTTTCTTTAACTGTATTGTAGTTCTCACAGTTTTCCTCTTAGCTTTACTGCCAGTACCATGAACTTTTTTTGGAGCTGTGGTTACAGTCTTTTACACAAATGAAGCACACACACAAAAAGCACAGTGACAAATGTTTTAATGCACTAACACAAGCATTATATGTTGTCCGGGTGAGAGCGGCACTTAGCCTGAAGCATCACCCATTGTGTCTGGGGAGAGACACGACACATGACAAGTGTGGCTTGTACTAGTTTTCAAATTGAATTTTCAATTTGACTGTTGAGCAAAATTGTGAACACTGAGCAGATTTTTAAACTTTGCTGTTCGAGTAATGGGAGCTTGGAGTTTGGAGCTATTCGATAACTGAGAAATCACTGCATGTTCATCCTGAGAATCAACCGAGAAGCATTACCAATAGGGATGAGTTGCTGGTCTCTGATAACCATTAGAGATGCTTACTCTTTAAGCCTGAGGCTGGGCCTGAGCATGTGACTCTAAATTAAGAACAGAATTTTTGCCCTCCATGTACTACTTGTTGAGAATTCAATCATTAGCTGACTGACCCCCAACACCTGCTGGAGGGCGGCATGTGCTGTCAGCTATCTGCAAGAGTCAGTCCCGTGGCATTTATTCAGACTCTTGTCTCAGATCCCTTCCCAACTTGAAATGCTTTCTGTGAGTTTTAATTTAATGTTAAGCCTTAACCTTTGCAAAGTTTTCTTATGAGAAGTCTTTTAAAATAGCATTTCTATAAATTGTACCCAGTGCCAACTCTTACTCCAGAGGCACTGTGCAAGCCCCGGTGAAATAAAAGATCCTACTTGGACTTTTAAGAAAAGCTTATCCCTGGACATCATTTTGCATGTTTTCTTTTGTTGTCATAAAAGGTCATAGTAACAAACCAATTATGTTAGTCTTGCTGCCTTAAATTTGGAAATAAATCCCATGCTTCATCATCTTTGTCACTTTCTTTCCCCTTTCACAATGTGTATCGTCATTTGAATTCACTTAATACACTTTTCCTCAGTCTTTTCTTTTGAAAACATACGGGCTATGAATCTATTTAAAATGAAATATTGAAAAGATAGGGTTAGATAACCAGGGAATTGCATGCCTTCCTTTTCTAAAGTTTTATTTTAAAACATTATTTCTATATTTCAGATGTACTAAGTATGTAATCATTGTGTTCTGCTTAATACTTAGCAAGAGTAAATCTTGGTCCTAAATTCAGAGAAAAAATGATCTCCATGAAATTATCTCCTTTGCTCGTGGCAGCCATAATCTGTTATCTGCAGATTGCTTATATTTAGTGTATATAATCAAATAAATGGTAGGTAATTAGGACTAGCTCTCTGACCCATGTAAAACTGTACCCTTCGATGGCCTAAAGCACCATGAAATGTCAGTCATCTAGGATCCACCCTGCAACATCCCAGCTTCTCATCCTTGATGAGCAGAATTGACTGACGGGTTTCAAGCTTCTCCTAAATCAAACAGAAAACAATTATAAAGATTTACTTCAACGTGAGTAAGCTTCTGCAAATGATGGCTGAGCCCTTGGAAGATTCATTTTCACTTGCCGGATTCGTCACTCCCGTGCAACTGCGCTGCCTGTGGACACGGTCCTTGTGTTGCTTTTGCTCCTGACACTGAGCCAGAGGATAAGGACCCAGGGATGTATTTAGCCTGGGATTAGGCGGGTGGAAAGAAGAGCAGCTCTGTATTTCAATGAAGGTGTGTCATTGCTGCCAGCCCTGGCTGAGTGATGTGGTGTAAATGGTGCCTATGAAGGGAATGAAGAGGTGTGAGGGTAAAGAATATGCTCACTTTTCATAAGAGATTGTCAGAGCTGCCACTGCTTCTTCTAGTTACCAAAGCCTGTGGATCTGGCCTCAGCCAGCGATAAGACAATCTTAGCATGTCTTTAGAGCACTTCCTAAATAGTCCCTCTCACTAATTGTCTGATTCTTTGCCCTATATCAAGACCTTGTTAAAAGATGCTTGAGAAGAATGTAAGCCATTGGTTGCAAACATTGGTCCTATTGAAAGTCATTCTCCTGGACCGGTTCTGAAATTGTCCTCATCTTTGATAATTTACAGGATTTCCCTTTATTAAATAATGTCCTTCCAGTATCTTGGTGCAACTATCCCTCCTTCTGAAAAATAGTGGTGATGGGAGATAGAAACTTTTGATTCAATAAGTTGATTTGGTGCATTTTAGGTATACAGTATGATGACACTCACCATTGGGAATCTGTACCTTTACATGATGCATCTTGGTTCTTATTTTTACCCCATTCCTGCCCTCCCTTCATCCCCTCCACCCCTTCCTATTTACAAAGAATTTGTTTCTGTTTTTTTCCTTTTCTCATATTTATTCCTTTCTACCACTCCCACTTCCCCTTTGGACCTTTTTTTTCCTACTTCACATTATCTTTTATACACTTTGATACTCGTTTACACATTCAGTTTCGCATACCAATGAAACTGTTCAGTACTTAGACGTGTGTGTCCTATCTATTTCACTTAAATGTATTGCCTCAATGTGCATCCATTTATCTATAAATACCTCTAATTTCTCATTCTTTATGGCTCAGTAGTATTCAATTTTATTTTTTTAAAAAACCCACATTTTCTTTATCCAGCCTTCAGTTGATGAGCAGTTGGGCTTTTTCCAAGTTTTAGTTATTACAAACTGTGCCACTCTGAACATGGGTGCACATATATCACTGTGGTGTGATTGTTTTCGTTAGGGAATATACCCAGCAGGGGAATAGCTGGGTCAAATAGGGCCTCTAATCCTAGTTTTTTGAAGTAGAAGATAGAAAGTTTTGAAAATGCTATTAAAATAAAAGTTGGAAACTCATCAGTCCATTTTTATATAATACTAGTCTTTTTAACTTCAAAAGAAAAGCAGTATTTGCTGCTCTTGAGTATAACATTTGTACTTTATATTTTAATCGGCATAATGCTATTCATTTGAGTCATTCCTTCATTTGCCAAATAGGCTCCTGAAGACAGTGGCAAAGACTGGGTTCAAGACTAGTAAGAGGCTGTTGCTTCACTCCCTCTGTGAAAGATGATGGTTACTGAAACTGGAGTTGCAGCAGTGAAATGCAGCAGAGCGGACACATGTATCTGAGAGTTACTTCAGGACAAATGTCAGACTAGTGATGGCCCGAAACACGAAGAGAAGGGGTGGGGAGGCAAAGATGGTGGTGCTTGAGTTTGTCAC